GGAGAAACTTCCTGACAGTTAGAACAATTAACCAGTGGAACAACCTGCCTCCAGAAGCGGTGAATGCTCCAACATTGGAAGTTTTTAAGAAGAGACTGGACAGCCATTTGTCCGAAATGGTATAGGGTTTCCTGCCTGAGCAGGGGGTTGGACACGATGACCTCCAAGGTCCCTTCCAACTTTTATTATTATTATTATTATTATTATTATTATTATTATTATTATTATTATTATTATTATTATTATTATTATTATTATTATTATTATTATTATTATTATTATTATTATTATTATGCTGCAAATTAGTATGAAGTTAATTTTCCAATCTTATTCCACATATGGGATGTATGGTTTTTTTTAACTCCAATCATTTCCTCTAGAACATGCTTTATGTAACACTGCATGAATGATCTGTGGAACCTAAATTTAATTATAATTAAATTTAACTAGACTAAATATTAACTAAATTTAATTATAGCTGTTGCATTCCCATTTTTCTCCCTGTACAGCCCTAGATGTTCTCCATGGAATAGAAAAAGAGAAAAAAAATTCACAGCTCTTGGATGTTCACTCACCTGGTTTTAGAGCCTTCCATAAGGTTCTATATATTTTTCAGATTCCTATCCAGTTGCCATCTCTTCTTGATTAGGTTGCTCAACTGATTCCAGCTGTGACTGATGTTATCTTCAAAAGGCAAATAAAACCTGAGCTGATTATTGCTGTAAGCCTTGGTCCTGAAACACTCTCCATTTGGATTCTAAAACCTTATTCTGTTGTTCCATAAAACAAATCCGGAATACATAAACCCAGATAGCTGATTGGTTCTTCATCAGCCCCATCAATTGTTTCTCCATCCAGTCCTGTTCAACTGAAAATGATTCTTCTCAAGCAGAGATCTCTCCTGATTATTATTATGCTCTAATTCCTAACTAGGAATGAATAATTCTATCCAGTTTGTTTTCAGTAATTCATTTCACTTATTCATTGAAATTTCTGTTTAGTATGAATCTGGCAGGAGGTTCATTTGCCTGGGATTTTAATATATACTTTTGTATACAAATGGTGATGTACATGTTTGTATAACATTTTTCCTAGATGTTCATGTACAACATCATAGTCAGCATCATCTAATGTATATGTTGTGGTGTGTGTTTATTTTGCCTAGCCAGGCAAATTACAGAATTCTGAAAAATAGAGACCTTTTCGCATTCACTGGGATATAAGAAGGAAGGGAAGACTATTCATTCATTCATTCATTCATTCATTCATTCATTCATTCATTCATTCATTCATTTAGCGTATGGCAAAAACATTTAAAAAGCACATCACAATTACATTCTCATGAGCAAATATGAAACCATGTATTTACAAATTCAAAGGTAAACTATATTACATGATGGAGTTACCTGCAGAAAGTATCTGGGGTTTCCCTGATATGCGCTCAGAGGGCACTATTCCACAATATGTTGCACTGACTACTTTGGAGCACCACAGTTGCATTCCAAAGAGGAGAACTTTCCTCATTTATGGAGGAGACTAGCATTAGTGGACAAGGACATATGGACAAAGAAGAAGCCTCCCTGAAAAGTCCTATACTTGGGCATCCCCTGGGCAATGACACAGGCTCAGCTAATTCTTCCACAATGGCAGCCAGACAATCCTTGTCATCTCCAGGCTTAAAACACATCACTATGGGAAGGTAAAGCACAAACACACTTGCAAGATTCTGTAATTATCATCTCTCTCACTAAAGTATATTTCTAGTCTTCCCAAGAGGCCTTTTTTTCTGATCTGGTCTACCCTGAATAGCTGACAGTCTGCTCTTGAATCAAAAGTATATTCAGTGGTGGGATTCAAATATGTGAACAACTGGTTCTCTGCGTGGATGCTGCTTCTGGAAGTCCATTTTGGGCCTGGGCAACAAAAAATTAGCTACCAGTTCTGCCGAACTGCTTCTGGCCAATTCAACTCTATGCAAGAAAGGGCAACTTCATTGGTATATTAGGAAAGGGCTGAAGTGGGAGGGAGTGGACAATCATTTGGAAGTCGGGGACTACTATGTCTTTCCCCACCCCCAGTTATTTTCAAGAATTTGCAGGATTCTTTTTTTTCGCCATGTAAATGTATACATTTGAACTAGACTGTGATGTTTCTCTGTGTCATTTGTGTGTAGGGGTGGGTATATGCATAATGGTATTTTTTGAGAGCTGAATGCAACAAAATTTCATTTTAATGTATGCTGATTAGTATACATTTAAAGTGACTATTCTATTCTATTCTATTCTATTCTATTCTATTCTATTCTATTCTATTCTATTCTATTCTATTCCAATACAATGTCACACAGAATGACTGATTTCTCTCAACTTGAAGTATGAGCAAGTCAGCCTTTTTTCAATTTCAGCTCAAAAGATCCAGTGTGCCTGCACCTTATTTTTTTTTTTTAGCTTTTCAGATTAAAAGGTTTGGCCTGAAAAATTCCAGTTTCAGTATCTTATTAGCCACCACTGTGGTTTTTGATATTGAGTTCTTAAAAAAAACACTGAATAAAAAATATGTGATCTATTTTCTGTCCCTATGTCTGTGCAATTCTTTTCCCGTTAAGTAGTCGGGCAGCAACAGAATCTCAGCAGTGAATGCAATGGAGAATTTGTTTTTTTTTCTCACTATAACAGGACAGAAGCTTTTTCACCAAATTAAAAAAGGTCATGAGTAAACTAGCAGAGGGCATGGCCAAACTGGAAGTCAATGCAATGGCCTTCACCCTGGAATGAACCAATTTTAAAATTTCCATGATGATATCATTACGCAGGTGATGAGAACCCCCAGGGGTGAGTACTCTTCAACGTACAAATATGAACAACCTCTCCCTATTAGTCATGGCACCTCCCCCCCCCCCGCTCAACGTACAGAATAGATATTTTTCATGATGTTTGCAAATTAAGAAACAGTTCCTATTTCCCTAGTACTTTTAACTTGCTTACATGTTCTTTTATCTAACAGTTTATTAAATAAGCTTAATATCCTTTAGTTTGTTTTAATGTCAACTGTTGTTTAAAAAAGTAAAGCTGTTTCAAAACTTTGGAGAGATGCAGATGCAATAAGAAAAGAACACAATGTACTTTATGTGCATCTAGTTTATTACCTATGAGACCGAAAAGTACAGCAAAGAGCAAAACAAGTAGATGTAGTGTCATGAACAGATAATTGTCAAAATGCCCAAAAATTTAACTTTTGATCCTTAAGAGCCGACCTTTTGGGTCTCACCCTAAAAGAAGGCAACTCCCTATAGTCAGATTGTTCCAGAAACAGCCCTGCTGAACAAACTATATTCTTACTGATCAGCTGTATGGTGGAGAAAGGATGTGGAATCTGTATTCAGATCCTTTGCTCTCCTTTTCAGATAAATGGGTTGGCTGGAGCTTGCATCTGCTTATCAATTAGAATACATAGCCTCATTTTCTGGATCCAGATGTGATTTCTTTTTTCTTTTCTATTCAACTACCACTGTATAGAAGTCTCCGTGCTGCATATTATACCACAATGCTCTGATAAGTCAGTGTTAGTTATCTTGGTACAAGGCTGGTCTTGCTAAAATCGGCACCACTCTGTAGCTTGTTCTGAAGTGAGTTTTTAAAGCAAGCACCTTTCTTTGAATTGTATCTATTTTGTTACTGTGATTATTACCCTACACCTTATAAGCTCCCCCTTTATTTATTTGTTTGTTCTGGAGAAAAATACATTTATATCTGAAAGCAGAAATAGACAGAGTCAGATAGCTCTGCACTGGAAGAAAATACTTCAGGCACATGGGCGTTTTCCAATGGAATATTCTGCTTGGGATTCTGGAAGACTCAATTTCATTGTGTTTTCATGTTTCACCTTTTGTGTTATTGGCCATTGCACTGGACACCATGTGGCCAAAGGCATGCGTGTTTCACAAGCAGTATTGTCATCCCTCATTGGGTAAGATTTATAAAGGTAGGCTCTGCACATACAGAGTGAAATATAGGTAGTCCTGGACTTACAACAGTTCATTTAGTGACCATTTGAAGTTACAATAACACTGAAAAAAGTGACTTACAACCATTGCAGCATTCCCATGGTCATGTGATCTAAGTGCAGATGCTCAGCTACTGATTCATATTTATGACGGTTGCAGTTTCCCAGGGTCATATGATCACCTTTTGTGACTTTCTGACAAGCAAAGTCAATGGGGAAGCCAGATTCACTTAACAACAGTGTTACTAACTTAACAACTGCAGTGATTTACTTAACAACTGTGGCACGAAAGGTTGTAAAATGGGGCAAAACTCACTAAGCAAATGTCTCACTTAATTCCAAGATTGGAGTAATGCAGAATTGCAAGCTATGGTTACAGTCATTAAAAGCAGAAATTTAGAATTTCTAAACTCTTCTTCCCAGATGTTCAACAGAAGAGAATGTGAAAAATGGAAACTTGCAAATCTGGGGAAAGTTCATTTTCATGTCAATGAGAATCATCGTTTACCAAGCTAGCAAAGAGTGACATGACTTTGACTCCTTTAGCTATCTTTACCCATATCTGTAGGAATCTAGCTAACACCAAGATTAACATCAGACCAACAATCAAGAAGCAAGCAATACTCCAATCAAAAGACCACTCCCATAGTCACTAGAATATAAACTGAGAGCAGACCCCACCCCATACTAGCACTGAAGATGTTACCTAATTTGGGTAATGAAACATCTTCAAGAAAACAAACCAATATTAGAGAGCACCAAGAACCCCTCATTTCAACCCTGAGCTACAAATATTCTCCTCTATCAAATCTAGATAAATTGTTCCTTTCCATCGTTTGTGAAAGTTCTGTCTACTTCCCTTTCTACAATTTTACTTTGTATTAGTGGACCATTTGCAGACCGTAGAGGACTTTTCACTTTGACACTTGGTTTCACTGTCAGAGGAAATGGATATTTTAGTTCCTGCCGGTTTGCATTGACAGGACCCTTCGGCCTTCTCACTGCATTTCTTTCCTTGTTTTGCTGCACTCTGAGAACTGCATGGGGAGTTGGTCACAGCTGGAAAGAAAACACACAGAATGGTTATTCCTGAAACACCTTTTTGGGAAAAATAACAAACAGGAAACTTAGTACTTACAGATACTGATGGAACTTGAAGAATCTCTGGATATCCTGTGGAGAGAAGAAAACACTCCCTTTTTTTTTCGTGTTGATCTTCCGGGCTTGCCTTAACACTGTTTTAAGTTTATCATCTTCATTCTTTCCTCAAGAATGAATCCACAGCATTTATACCCATTTATGCAGAATACAAAAAGCATTACTCAATGTTTCATCATCTCTTTTGAAAATATCTTTGTTTGAAAGGCTATTTGAAGGATTTGTAAATATGTCTGTATTGTACTGTTACATGTATTTGGAAGTAACTGGAGTTCAGGTAGTGGTGGGATGTTCAAATACCTGAACATCTGGTTCACTACGTAGATGCAGGCCTGGGCCTCTGAGGCCTAGAATGGACTTTGGAAGTGACATCCATGCACTTCTTGTGGGCTGTTCTAGGCCTAGGAGGCTCCTCCAAGCCTCTGAGGCCTAGAACGGACTTCCGGAGGTGACACCCATGCACTTCCGGTGGGCCATTCTAGGCCTGGAAGACCTCCAGGCCTCCGAGGCTTAGAACGGACTTCCAGAAGCAGCATGGGTTCAGCCAGTTCTCCGAACTCAACAAAATTTAACTACCGGTTCTACCGAACCGGTGTGAACCGGCTGAATTCCACCACTGAGTTTGGGCCATATCATGCTTGGTGACAGGGATCCTATAAAGCTTGATCTAGAATAAATAAAATAAATTGACATAGGAGACTCACCTCTCTTCTTCTCCCTCCAACAAACATTTGTAAGCTGCAATCTCAATATCAAGAACTATCTTCACATTCAGAACTTTCTGGTAGTCACGTACTAGGCTGGCCAGTTCATCCTTGCCATTTTGAAGGGCCTTTACCAGTTCAGCATATTTCTGTTGACCTTCTTTGGAGGCTTGTTCACCTCCTTTGGCTGCCTCACAAATTGTCTTCTTGAGCTCTTCGTTCTGTAAAAGGGATATGATTGGACATGTTGTCACCTGCCTCTTAGTGCCACACAACCAGATTACAGCCTTTCAACAAAATTATCTGGAAAGGTAGGGCTCATATTCTTCAAAAACATGGGTTAGAGTCTTTACTTTATTCATTCAATGAAAGAATAATGAAATCCATTATTCTAGTTGCCATTACACCTAATAATTCGGGCTTTGTCCTTCTACGTGTTATCTTCTTTTTTCCCCAGGAAACCCAATGGACAAAATATAACTTTTGGGGCAACCTGGCCAATCTTGTCTTAGACCTGGAAGTTAGTCAGCATTGAGTATTCCAGAAGGGAGATGATTAGGGAAACTCATAAGTGAAGATTGTAGACCATAGACTCAACTGGGAAATTGAAAACCATCCAGCTAAAAAATCATGGCAAACCCATCATGTGATCTTGCCAAGCAAGCCATAGGACTGAGCTCAGGACTGAGAGCATCTTTATCAGAAAAAACAGATGTTGGTAGTTTGGGCTAATGCATGTCTTGCATATGTTACTGTACAATTTCCTCCAACACCCAGAAACAACATACAAACAAACTTCACCATACTTTTAGCATATAGATACCAGTATCTTTATACCAACTGCATACTGGAAACAGGAATGCAGATATGTTGTAATCAGGGTATTGGGGATTATTATACCTGTGGAGCATAAATATCCTATGGCATGTAAAAATATGTTTGTACAGAATATTAAATGCATATTCAAACAAAAACAAAAAAAGTTCTATTTTTCACTTTAAAAGTCCATTTTTAAAAATGATTTAAATTTGTTAACATTTTCTGATCATGAGAAAAACTGTCAGTTTTAGGTCTGTTTGTAAAAAGTAGAGATT